CGGGGGCTGCCTGCCAGGCTGGGCTGGAGGTGGAGGGGAGGACTGGGGTTACTGGGCTGAACTGCAACTCCTGCCTCAGCGAGCCGGGTCTCTTGGGGCAACAGGCAGCTGCCTCACCAAGAGCCCTCATAAGCGTGTCCTTCCGCATCCAAAGTCTGTGACTTGTCCCCTTCATCTTTAGGGGGAATTCTGTTCCACAGTCCATTTCCAGAAGCAGAAACTCCATAATTTCCAGTCAAGATGTGTTCGTGGCCAGCTTATTTCCATTTCTTCCTGTGCTAGCCTTGTCTTCGCTTCAACAACAGTGCTCCTTCCCCCAGTGTTTCTGTAGAGCCAGTAAATCCTCCCGGCCTCGGCTGAGCCAGCCAGCCAAGCCCTGCAAGGCACGTCTGCAGCGCCGGGGTTACCTCTGCCAGGGCTGCGATGCTTCTGTTGCAGAGCTCGCTCCGCTGCCGGCGCCGGAGCAAAGGGCATCGCACCTCACGGCATGGCACAGACGTGCCGTCGGCTTCGCTGTGCAATTCCGGCTCCCTGCCTGCGCTTATGGTCCTTGCATTCCAGCCCGGCCCCTCTTCCCTGCCCGAGGGGCACAGCCGGGCACTGCCCAGCCTTCGCTGGGGCTGTGCATGAGGGCCCTGCGATTTCTGATTGCTCTTGGAAAGTCGTGGTGTCTGTGGGCAGTGTTTGTCTTTCTCATGGCTGCACCCCGCTGGTGGCGAACAGCCACCTTGTGATTCATCTCCTTCGCCCGGGCCCTTCTCCTCCTTTCTTCCTCCGAGCAGAAGAGCCTGCAGCTGAGGCTCGAAATTCTTGTGAGGAGCCCGCGAGACCTCTCACTTAACCCAGAGAAGGGAAAGGAGGAGAAATGAGGTTTGGAGGCTAATTCTGGCAGCATCAGGGACAAGAAAGATCAAAAACTCAGGGCAGGAGTACAAGAGAGGAGGGAAGCTGTTGCGTGCATGCTCCTGGAATCCCCTGACAGTCCTGGTTCATGCATACTGCACGTTATTTCTGTACCTACTTAAATTAAAACCAGCCTTGTCTTGCGGACGCTGACTGGAGCCAGGCAGTTCTTCTCCCCAGGGGAGAATCGAATTTTCACTCCCATCTAGCTTGTGTTTTTGACCTGGAATGACTCTTCTTTTTATATTTAACAAACGCTCCCTCCAAGCCTTGTACCATGTTGCACTTCTCATGGCGGTGCCTGCGGCATCATGGCACATACGTGCTCCAAGGCAGGAGAGCAGAAGTGGGCAGACCGCTCACCTGTGATCCGGCTGACCGCACGGCAGAGCCGCGCTGTGACCGGGATCAGAGGCAACGGGAGCTCTGCGGGCAGCAGCCAGGCACGGCCAGCCCGGCTGGCCAGAGGGGAAGGGGAACCCGGGTCCCAGCCCACTTCTGCATCCTCTGCGCCTTGGGGTTTGGGTCCAGAAATGCCGAGGAAAAGCAACGCACAGATGCTGGCGGTGGCACGGCGGGCTGGGACGGGTTCGCGGGCTCGCAGGTGGGTCCCCACCACGTGCAGCCCATGCATCTCGCCCGCCTGCCCCCCGAGCCTGGGGAGCAGCTACCCTGAGGTCCAGCTCTTCCCACCCATTTCCTGACAGATCCCTTCACAGCTGGCCCTCCGTAGGGATAACCTCCTCCAGACTCTGTCCGTCTCCTGTCGGGGCTGGGACAGACCTGCCTTGCAGAGCAGAGCCCGGAATGCCTGGAGGTCCAGCCGGGGCTGCGTGTCTTTCCCGGCTGTGGCGTTAATCGGTTCGTTACAGTTCAGAGATGCCATGTGCCTGTCTAATTTGCAACTAAAGGCACAACAGCTGCCTGCCAGAGGTGCTTTCTTTTCTGCAGCACAGGTCGTGGTGCAGGACACGTCCTTTCTCCTGGGCCTTTCTTATGGACCGGGCTGCCAGTCCTGTAAATAAAATCTATCAGAGGCTCAGGAGACACAATGGGGTCTGGGCTGGGAGGAAGCTTAATGGGTTCAAAGTATTTATTCATTTCTGCAGTCCTTAAAAACATCTCCTAGGTCTTTTGAGAGCGTTGGCTGGTGTGACTCATGACCCATAACCGCGCCGAGTGCCGTACGCCGTGAGCAGCCGCAGGCAGCAGCAATGTTTTGCTTCTAATTCGCTAATCTTCGTGAGCCTGTGCTATTCTGGGTGTCTCTTTCTCCAGCAAGAGGAGAGGCTTCTCCAGGTTATATAATTCATGGAGGGCAAAGCCGGCCTGTTTTGAGCCACCTCCGTAACAGCTCTCAACACCCAGAGCTGCAATTAGTCACCGCTTACCAGACATGACGTACCGCGCCAGCCCAGCGCTCCTGCCCTCACCCGCGGGGGGGCTATGGACCAGCTGCCCAAGAGCAACGTGTCTCTTCCTTAATCCTGTGACTCCATAGTTAATCAATCCGAGATAGGCGAGTAAATAAGTCAGTCAGTCATGACTGATGCAGGAAAGGACAAATGTGTTAATAAGCGTAGCCCGCTGTTTGTCTGTATGACACACCAGACCTGCACAGGGTACGGAGGAAGGAGCTCTGAGCTGTAGGATCAATTCCTGTCGGTGAGCCTTTGGCTCCGACTCTCCGGACATCCCGTGGTCCCCACCGGTGCTGCCCAGAGAGGTCGGGCACGTTCCCGTGCAGCGCAGGCATGGGGAATGTGCTTGGCTTTTATGTCCCCAAGCACCAAGACATTGAGCTTTGGCTGGCAGAGAGGGTATGGAGGGGACAGGCTTATTTTCCTCATCCTGAGACAAATCAGCGAAGTTCTCCTGGTGCATTTGGTGGCAGCGAATGGTGGCTCCCACCGTGCTGGCGCGCAGACGAGCACGAGGGAGAGCAGCAGCTGGGGGGACCCCACTTGTTCCCGATGCAGTTGGATGACTTCCCCACCTCCAAATGGTGTCCTGAGACCTTTTGCCCAGAACCCCCCAAGGGAAGCCTACGTTCTGCCATGGGGTTTTTTTCATGGCGAATTCAAAAATACTTTCTATCTAAAGCGAAGCCAGAGAATACTCAAAATTTAATAGCTATCAGATTCCTAGAGCAGCGCCTCGGCTGAGAAAGCAGCCACATACATGGGCTCCCAGGGCTTGGCTCATGTTGTACCAGCAAAATAAACCCTCAGATTAAATGTACACCCACTTGCAGAACATTGCTCTGGCAATACGGCTCCATTGCCTCTCCAGATGGCTTCTGAGGGTCAGGATCCCATGCAAAAGTTGTTAGACGGATACTTCGTTTCATTCTTAACCAAAAAAAATAAGCACTGTGCAAATAAAACAGAATGGAGTTTTTAGGCCTTTGAATCCTAAAAAGCTGTTGCAAATTAATCCTCCTTGCACTTGCCCAAATGCACTGTGGCACTGGGAGCAGAGGCTGGAGGGGGGTGGAAAAGCAATACAGGATGACTTGTTTTCTTATGAGCTGAATTCCTGCTTTGCATTCCAAATCCCCATTTTTATAGACTTTTCCGCTGAAGTCTGCTCCTGCCCTGGGCATGCCTGTGTAACCGCTCCTCTCTCTGCATTCCTTAGATTCTTCTTCCGCTGGAGACGCTGGATTGAAGAAGGGGTCTGAGGTCCCTGGTGAAGAAAGGGAGGCGAGGAGGAGGTTTCCCCTGGACTCTAACGCATCAAATCAGAAAACCAAGCCATGTCACAGGTCATACAAAACCACGTCTTGCGTGTTGGACAGACCGTGTGTGTTTCCTCGCAGGAGGAAAGCAAGAGCTTGCACCCAGTGGGGTACCCGGGCTGCTCCGCGCTGCCGATGAAGTACGCCTACTACTCAACGGAGGGCTGGGCTGACCCATCTGCGATGGTGCACGCCAATGCACGCCTGCTTCCCGGCGGAGGGCTGTACGGAGCCCACCCCGTGTTTGAGCACGTGGCTGCTCATGCCCAGGGGAAGGGGCAGCAGGATACCTCTTTGGAGAGACCCGCTGGCCCCTATCAGCTAAAGGAGGAGGAGGACAACACTGGCACGGATCCTGAGGCTCACCTGGTGTCTCCTACCTTGGACATATCAATAGAGAGTCTCAACCAGCTGATCCTAGAAATCGATCCGACCTTTCAGCCGCTCACGTGCAAGCCGGTGAAGGATGCGGTCCAACCTGCTTCTCAGGGTGACGCCGCTGCCACCAGGAAGCAAGATCCGGAGGCAATAGGTGAGGCAAAAGGTGCTGGTCGTGCGGTGGAGCCAGCGCAGCCCAGACCTAGTGAAAACCACTTGCAAGAGGCAGAGTGAAAGTGCAGGGCAGAGAGGCTGGCCACCCACCAGCCTCAGCCCCTCTGCTGTGGGCAGGATGAGGTCCTGTGCTCCTGCGAAGGGCTGGCAATGGGCACCGGTGACATCCCCCACCGTCCCCAGGGGGATCAGTGTGGGATACTGGCTACTGACATCAGGGCTTCATATAAAGGAGCAGCAGGACAGATTGTGTATCCAGGCTCTCTGCCTAACTCGCCTGCTTAGGTGGCCCCAGCCTGACCACTTTTGAAATGTCTCGCGTCCAGCTGGCTCAACAGGATCCAAAAGAAAACAGGGAGAACAGCCTTAATTCAACCTGATGTTTGTTTCCCTGTGTTTGGAGAAAACATTTCTCATTAGAAATGGGACTTGTAGCTCTCAGAAAATGCCTAATCCAAGTTATTGCCATCAATGACTAGGGACAGGCGCTGACCTCTGGATGCGATGTCTGGAGCGTGCTCACCCTCGCAGCACCCTCTACCAAAGGGCAGTAGAGCCTTTCCCAGGGTCATGCTTGACCTGTGGAAGCACAAGGATTTGCAGCCAGATTTCCAAAGCCTTGGGCTAAGGTACCGATCGTTACACAACCATCCCAGTTAAATGTTCCCAATCATTTTGCCAGGGAAATTTTTTTTTCAGGGCTTGTGTGCTCCTCCAGCAGCATACCTGGCATACACAAGGCAGAACATCAGCAGCACATACCAACCCCCTCTTTCTGCCTTCATGCCTGGGTGCCTTACGTGAACCCTTTTGCAACACTTCTCTGTCATCCCTGCAATCCAAAGCTGTGCTGTGTGTGCTGCTTCTGATCCAAGCACTCTTTGCCTGTGGCTGTTTTGCAGCGTGTTAGCTGCTCAACACACTCTGCGCAGGGAAACACAAGCAGACGGCGTGTTGCACGCCGCTGCAAGCAGTCTGGTGCACCAGAGGACAGATCTGTGATGTGTTTAGGTGCCTAAAGATACAGTCTCACTGCTTCTGAAAAGCCTTATTGCTTATCTGTGTCTTCAGTCACGGAAATACCTTGAAAATCTGTCCCTAGGCCTCTTTCCAGAGGAAGGTCAAATGAGAGGATGTTAAAGGCATGAAAAAAATTCTGTTCTCCCTGGAGCCCCCATGCAAACGTCTGCATGAGGAACGCGGGGTTGGAGGAGGACGCGGTGCGTGTCTGCAAGTGCACTGAACTGCAGCCCTGCCGGGTGCGAGGGTCCCGGTGCTCCAACGGGGAAGCAGCAAAGGCAGAGTCAGGGAGCGCAGGGGTCGGAGCGGCGCGAGCACGCTGCGGGGCTTGGGCGATTCTGGAGCGGACAGCGTCCCTGCTTCCCACTGGGGGGGAAGGGGGTGGCCTTGCAAATAAAGTACCAAGACAAAGTGCAAGTTCAGCTCTTGGCTCCTCAGACGAGTGCTTGGAGGCATTCAGGCATCACTCGAGGGCTGGAGTCCCGAGCAGCTCAGCAGGTAGCATGCTAGTGGTTTTGAAAATCTGGCTCCAAGTGTGGAACTGAACATCTGGAAATCTGGCCCTGAATTCAGTGGGAAAAGCCTCACTTCAGCTTTCATTTTCTTTTAACAGCTCTTATTTTTTACGCAAACTTCCTACTGCTGCACAGCATCCCTGTTCACCCACCTCCTCCTGTAGCCATGCAACCTCTGCAGGCACCGCTGCTCCCGTCTCACGCCAGCTGGCCCCGTGGAAACGCTCCCGTTAGGCTCCTGCCTCCCTTTCCTCCCCTGGCCACGCAGGGAAGGGCTGCACAGGGCCCCCTTGCGCTTTCGGAATAATTTCCACGCCCCACCTTTCTGCCCAAGGTGTGGGTTCCCTGCAAGCATGGTCTGTTGATGTGCAGGCTGGCAGGAGACTGATGGTGCCCAGAGTCCACGAGAGGGGCCTGTTTATGTCTAGTGGAAGCCATGAGGAGGGCTTTTAATGTAATAGATGCTGTAGCAATCGGAGACACGTTCATGACAGTGACTAACTCCCTCTGGTACTTGCTGCTTCTTGGAGAAGAGGAGAGTCTCTCAGCTTGCGTGACAGCTGGGCTCCGTGTTTGTGGCACTTTTGCCACTCCTTGATGCTGAAGAACTTGCCAAGGTCTTGAGCAAATATTTGAGGTTTAGCCACACCTGATAAGCAGGAGCAAAGGCAGAAAAGTAGGAGGCAAAGGGCCTCGTTAGCTCAGGGTGCAGATGCTTTTCAGTTATTTCTTTAAAGGACAATTAAAAACCTCATTTCTTTTTCTCTTTTGAGGGAGACATTGACAAAAAGCATCTGGCCAAGAGCTTGCTGTAAGGGTTTGCACACTGATACCAGAACCACGTGGCTCCGGAGCCTTTCCGAGGATGGGCTTTGGAGGCTGCTGGCTGCCAGTGGCAGCAAGGGTGTGGAGGGGGGAGGCTGCGGTTCTGGCTCCTTCCCTGTGCACGGTCCAGCTGCGTCCCCGCTGGGGACCAGCCCTTCTGGCTTCCCCGGCGCCTCCTCGGCGGCTCTCCGCTGGCCGTGCCGACCCAGTCCCGCGCTGGGATTGGCATAGAGAAGGGGCTCAGAGAGTAACTTTTGTACAGACTTGTGCTTTTCCCGCCTGTCAAGCTTTATGCCCCAGAGGTCTGGTTGTTCCTTGCAGTAAACAGGGTCTGCAGTGCTCGGTAGTCTGGAGTCGGCTGCTCTGCCCCGGCCAGCTGCCCTCACCGGTGGGTCCCAGGGCAGGAACGGGGCACATAACATCAACTGCCAGGGAGCTCAGGGCTGCTAAGAGCAGGTTTTCATTGCTGCAGCAAAAAGGGTTTTCTCTCTCCAAGAAACACCCTTAAGAAGGGGAGCTTTCCTAAACTCCATGGCAGGGCAAGAACCAGGAGCTGAAAACAAAGCTGGGCACGTTCAGACTAGAAAGGAGGCGCACGCTTCTAGCAGTGGAGGCGATTAACCACTGGAACAGCTTCCCTGGGGAGGTGATGAATTCGCCATCGCTGCAAGCCCTTAAATCAAGTCTGAGTGTCTCTTGCTAAAAGGCATCTTCTAGCTCAGCCAGAAATTATGGTCTTTTTCAAGGAACCCAGTGACTGATGTGCATCGGGCACCTGGGAGCCGGGCATCCCCTTGCCCTGGCTGTGAGGTTTCACTGAAGGTCTTGGAGCAAGTGGTGCTCCGTCAGATGTGTTACCTTATCAATAATGGCAAGCAAAGGGGCTAGGAGATGCCCTACTGCCCTGAGCATGAATGGAAGAGCAGGAAGAAACACACAGCAGGGCACGGGCACAGAAACTGCCTTGGAATTTATTTCTTTAACGAGACTTGTGCAGGATGGGAAGAGGGAAGGGGGAGAGCAGCCGGCCCCTGCCCTGGGCTGCACGCTCGCTGCTGGCACGCCCGGTCCCATAGCTGACACCTTGAGCCTTGTCCCACACGGCTTCCCTCTGCCTCCCGCTCCGCAGCCACGGCGCGGATGGCGCAGATGTCCAGCGGTGCCTGGGGGCCAGGTGATGTTCCCCGTGCTCCTCCACCCAGCCAGCTCAGAGGGTGTGCAGGGCCACGCGCCTGCTGCCGTGGGCACCCTCCGAGCCTGATGTCATCCCTGGGGGGAGCAGCCAGATGTTTTTCTCTTGAGTCAGGTACACAGAGCAGCTGCTGGAGGAAACACCCGCCTCTCGCTGCAGGTCTCGGCAAGCACCGGGTGTGCAATGCTGGTGCGGGGGGTCTGTGCAGTCAGACATGACCGCATGTAACTCCTCTTGCCTGGGAGCCCGCCTGCACTTCGGTGGGTCACCGTGACTTGGTGGCCATGAAGAAATCAGCCCTCACAGGGTCTTAACAAAGGCCAGCGTTAGGCCATGGGGGTCTCCCTGCAGAGCCCAGGGGTTCTCCCCTGGGCCCAGCAGCCCTGCAGGGCATGCAAACTGGAGCCAAAATTAATAGCAAGAAGAACAGAGACGCATGTCCCCCACAGAGCTTAGCTAACAAACTCGACTTGAACACTGAACCGATAACAACCTCCTCTTTCCTCCTCCAGACATTAAATACATAGAGATGACGCCAGGCAGAGCCGTATGTCCCGAGCTGCTGCAGGGCTCCCCCAGCCCCTCGGGCACGCTGTTCTCCAGGTCCCCCCAGGGCAATGGCTTCCTGCCCCAAAAAGGGGGACTCAGAGGCAGCTACAGCACCAGTGGCAGCGTGGTTTTCTCGAGCCCACCCGGACCTGCAAGCCCCCGGTCAGCCACCCCGAGCTGCACTGCCTCCCCGACCTGCAGCAAAGCATCCAAGTGCATCGCTGTCCCCCAGCAGTGCACGGCCGGCCAGACGGACAGCATCTCCTACGGCCCCAGGGCTCTCGGCACCTCCCCGGGCTTTGACAATTTGCTGAAGCCCGTGCACATGGTGAGGGCCCAGCAGAGGGGCAGCTGGGTCTCCCTGCTCTCCACAAGCCCCGGCTCAGACACCAGTTACATCCTTGGAAGGTAAATGCCGCCTTGTGTCCCAGTCTCAGGGTGGTGATGGGGATGGAAGGGGCACGGCACAGTTACCCCAAGTCCCATTGCCCAAGACCTCCTTCCTCAGGCTGGGAGTCAATGCCCCGCGGGGCTGGCTGGGTCTCTGGGGTGTGCATCCCATCCTGGTGAAACAACCCCGCTGATCTTCTGCTCTCTGTCTCCCTCTTGCAGCAGCACCCACTCGCTCCACAACGACGATTCGGATGCTCACCCTGCTGCCCGCTGCTCCGCTGACTGCCCGTCCCCTGCCAGCTCCCTGGGCAGCCCCTGCCCACCTTCCCCGAGCATCAGATCTCACTCTGGAGAAGCTTTTGGCCTGAGTCCCCAGCAGCCCAGGGCAGCCTGCTGCACCACGGCCAACACCCCCCCATCCCAGAAGGGACAGGCCAGCAGCTGTCCCCCCTCCATCCTCAACTCCGCAGCCGACATCCCGGTGCTGCTGGTGAACGGGTGCCTGGAACAAGGAGATGCATCTTCCAGGCTGGCCAAAGTTCCCCCAGCCTCTGTCAAGCAGAGCCCCCCTCCCAGCTGCAGCCCAGCCTTGAGGCTCGGTGGCCTGAACAACGCGCTGTCGGCACCAGTGCTCTCCTGCGTCTCCGACAGTAAGTCACCTCCCCGCCACAGGGCAGGTCTGGGGTGGGGAAGCAGCTGTAGAGCCCAACAGCTACCAGGAAAGGGGGAGCAAACACCGTTTTCTGCTCTGGTTTATCTGTGGGTTGTAGACGTGAAGGACAGGGGGTCCTTGCTGGAGCTAGAAACCCTTGATGTATCTCCACATTGGGTTGCAGGGCTCTGCGGTGGTCTCCAGCTCTTTGCTGATGACCCTGCATTAGCCATGGTGTTTTGCCCACCAGGGTCCTGGGGCATGTCCTCAGCAGGCAGAAACGCTCTGGTCCCCTCAAGGAGATGCAGATACACGTATTTATAGCACCTGAGAATTAGAACCATAATTCTGTCATTTCGTACTTGTTTGTGGGCTCAGAATGGGTGGGGAGGAGGGATTAGGGTTCCAGTTTGCTCTGGAGGACATCTAAAGATACCAGAGTTCATAAGGTCCCTCATTCAAGGGTAGACAATGAGGCTATTGTGCTCTGGAGGAGATAAGCAGAGGCAGCTCTTGGGGCAGAGGGTTTTAATTGGGATTCTTATAGGAATAGCAGGAGGGCTTTGTGGGTCAGATCCCTCAGCTGGTGTAAACCCCTACGGTCCAGTGGACTTGTGCAGGGCTGGGCAGACTGGCACTGCTGGGAGATTCCACGTGCTGCCCTTCTGCGCTCTGTCGCAGCCTGCCAAGAGAGATAATTACGTGGAGAATGAATTATTCTGAGGAGTAGGGAGGAAGCTCTGGTCAAAAGCATTGAAGAAACACTTCAACTCTGGCCAGCCTGAAAAAGAAATATCTTTGCTAGGGCTCTGTCCTGCTCAGTGATGTCTGCTGTGAAGGTCTGTCAGGTCCCACGCTGGCCTTGACACCGCAAGGTCTTTTGCAGGTCCCCTCAGGGCTGGGCAGCCGACCATGAAGTTTGTGATGGACACATCGAAATACTGGTTCAAGCCGAGCATAAGCAGGGACCAAGGTAAGGCAATAAGCGTCTCTTCTGGGATAACGCCAGCTCAGACTTGCTCTCTGGGGGTCTGCAGGACTGCTGCCTGTTCCCCAGGCTGGCGTTTGCCTCCCCGCAGCGCCTCAGTCCAGCTCTTGCCCGTGCTGAGGCCCTGTGGGCACTGGGTGATGGCAATTCAAGGCATACTGGGGGTTGATGGGCACGGAGAGACCCGCTCACAGGTCTAGGGGGAAGGCTCAGAAACACGGGCTGTGCCACGGCCCCTCTGTGTCCCCCTCAGCTCCAGAAAAACCTTCTCCTGCCTCTGCTGCTACTCAGCATGGCCCAGGCAGGGGCTGACTCTGTCCTGGGGACCGCAGGGACCCACGGGACCGAGCCAGGGCCCCTCAGTCTGCAGGTGCCCTGCAGCTGGTACCCTCACGAGGGACGTGCAAATGCTCAGCAAATGCTCCTGATGATTCCTCGCTGCTGGCAAGGAACGACTCCCCGCGAGAGCATCGGCTGGACGCAAAACGCAACGTGGGGAGGTTCCACCTGTTTTGCTTGGCTGAGCCTCCGCCTGTGCTTTGACAGCAATCCAGCTGCTGAAGGACAAGGAGCCAGGCACATTCGTTGTGCGCGACAGCACGTCATACCGCGGGTCTTTCGGACTGGCGATGAAGGTTCCCGTCTCTCCATCCGGCAGCCAGACAGGTACAGGGACTCACTCGGAAAGGTGGGGTTTGCTTCAGGGATTTAACTGAAACCAGTCAAACTAAAGCAAGCTTGCCCTGCAAGCTGAGCATCCCCACCCAAGGGATGTGCATGCCCATCCTCACGCACGGGGGGCTGGCACCGCGCTCACCGCGCAGAGCAGAAGCTCCGGTGGATGCCCTGGGACGGGCCCCGGGGCGGGCAGGGGAGGGCAGGGGCGAAATAGCCGTGGTTGTGCCGGTGCTGACATTGTCTTCAATCCCACTCGCAGGCGATGAGAGCAGTGATTTCATCCGGCACTTCCTCATCGAGTCATCTGCCAAAGGGGTGCACTTGAAAGGGGCCAGCGAGGAGCTGTATTTTGGTAAGGACGGTGCCATCACCCGCAGCAGCCCTGGCAGCCCCAGGAGCTGTTTCCAAAAGCCCCTCGAAGCACCGGCCAGCACCGGGGCCGCTCCACAGCCCTGCAGTGAGTGTGTGAGCATGAGGGACCCCAGCCCCTGGCTCCTGCCCGCACTTCTCTGCCACTGAGACTGTGGGAGCAGTCTCCAAAACAAGAACATGGGGTGGGGGTTGGAAAACCCATTTTTGTCACTGTGAGACCCCAAATAGTCCAGCTTAGCCCCCCCCTTCCCTCCTTCTGAGGTCCCTGGGACACTGTTGAGGGGCCGGAGGTGCATGGGTGGGAGGTTTCAGGTACCAGGGCCCCCCCGACTCACGGTTCTGTGTTGCAGGGAGCCTCTCTGCCTTTGTGTATCAGCACGCCATCACCCCACTGGCACTGCCCTGCAAGCTGAGCATCCCCACCCGAGGTAGGTGTTGGGGCAGGAGAGATGCTCCGAGCGGTCCCTCCTGCCCGTCTGGGGAGATGGGCACGGTCCTGCAGCGGGGAGGGGGCCAAATCAGCCAGGCACCCCTGCAACGGGGCTGATTGCCCTGGCCGTAGGAGGAGCAGGGACCTGCAAGAGCTGACTCGAGTACGAGATGGTGGGGACTTGCTTCTGCTGGGGATGGAGGGCGGTCAGCAAAGCAGCGGGGAGCAGGGGACCACTGAGGGTGGGCAAGGAAAGGAGGAGCGGGGAGGTCAGAGATGAATGGAGCCAGGAGAGGGAAATGGAGCACAATTAAATGAATTACTGCTCTAAACCCCTGCAATTTAAGTGGTCCTGGGCCTTTGGGCCTCTTGCGAGAGAAGGAATTTCACCCAGAGTGGTGAGCCAAGCAACCTGACCTGTGGACATCAGTGCTCCTGCTTGTCCTTTGTGCAGATCTTGCTGATGGAGAAGACAGCCCTGACTGCGCTCCTGAATCCGCACTATCCCTGCTGAAGAAAACTGCTGGTGAGGAAAGGAGCAGGCTGCTGGCACCAGGGGACAGTCGAGTTTCCAATAGCTAGAGCTCTGGGCATGCACCCATGCTTTGGGCTTCAGTCCTTACGGATCAACCACAGGGCTCTATTTTTTTTATGTCATCCGTTCGGACACCATTCACAGCAGAAGCTGAAAAGCCGGCGCTGTCTTTGGACCTGTGCAGAACCGCAGGTCACCCCGGTGCATCTGTGGATGCCGGTGCAATGTCCCCCTCCTGGCTTTAGCACCAGGTTGGAGACACCTGCGGATTTTCTTCACATCCTCAGATCATGGGCCTACAAGGGAATCTGAAATTTTTAAAGAAAGGAGACTCTTGGTCCTCACGATAGTGAAGTTTGAAAAGACAGTTCTTGAGGTCCCAAGGCTGATAAAAGACGCACAATTCCCACAATTTTAAGTAGCCCCTGATTTTTAAGCGTCTCTCCTGATTGGCCTCAACCAGGGTATTGAACTGCTGGGCATTGAACAGCCGGAGTTCCTAGGAGAGGGATGGGGCAGTCGGGGCTGGTTAAATTGCTGAGGGACCTTATGGGAGACGCATGGAAACTGCACAGCAGGACGGGGAAGGGTCTTTGCTTCTCTTCTGCACCCAGGTCCCCCCAGCCTGGGTGCAGCGGTGGGTGGGCTCCAGGTGAGAGCAGAGCGCGATGGACGGGGGACCGCGCGGATGGGTCACGGCGCGCTCGGGGGAGTTGGGAACTGCTTTGTTTTGCTGGAAACTCTGAAAAATAAGTTGGCAAGCTGAAAAGTTTAGTTTGACCCAGAACAGCTCAATCAGCCTGAAATGTCATGTTTTAGGTTGGCCTTCAGCTGTTAGTTGGCTTGGGGTATTTCTGCTTTTCATTAAAGGAAATATGTAATAAACAGAAAACAAAATCCAAATCTGACATTCAGAAACCGGAAATTAAATACTCTGACTTTTAAAACAATTAGTGCAAAGCATTAAAGTAAACCAAAATAAATTTGTGAAGAATTTCTGAGTCACCAAATCTTTAATTGTCATCAAAACAAATCTGACCCACATACACGCATCCGGTTCTACAGGATGATGCCTGGGACCCGGCCCTGGACCCGGCACCGCTGTGCTCGGCGCTGCACACGCTCAGCGCAACGAGATGCCGGCGTGACGCCGGCCCCGTGCTGAGCCGGGCTCTGTGCTGTTCTTGCAGTGTGCAACGTCTTGTACCTCAACTCGGTGAACTTGGAGACGCTCACCGGAGCCCCGGCCATCCAGAAAGCCGTCTCGTCCACCTTCGAGCTGGAGATGCTGCCCACACCCACCCTCGTGCACTTCAGAGTGACCGAGCAGGGAGTCACGCTGACCGACATCCAGAGAAAGTAAGAGCTGCCTGGGGAGGGTCAGGACAGGGTGCCGGGCTGCTGCCGCGGCCGAGGGCTCACTGGTGGCAAGCTGCAGGGGGGATGTTAAATGCTCATGGAAATGCAGCTCGCCCGTGACCGCACAGCTCTCTGCTTGCCTCTCAGCCTGCCAACGCGCTGATCTGCAGCGCGGCCAGAAAAACTGGCCTGCTAGGACAGATCCGTGTTGCAATCCAGGGGTGGACTCGATCCCGTCTGTTTACAGCACAGGGCACGATGCTGCTTTATGTGACGCTTGTGGCAACTTCTCGGGTGGGAGGCAGGAGCTGGCTGAACCCACGAGCTGCCTGCGCTTTGCCAGCTGCCAGCGCA